GAGATCTTTTTGAAAGTAAAATCTCACAATAAAATAAACTATACTTTTTGTTATTATTTTTCATCATGGATTCAATTTCGATATAATATAGGTAATATAGGTATAGTCATACATATATTTATCCAGATGCGTATTTATTTTTTATACGAGTGGTGGCGGGAAAGTACTTTATGCATATTTAAATAATAATAATAATAATAATTTAATATAAACGAACCACGTATTGCGTTTTTCTCTACCTATCTCTCTCCAAGCGCGTACGCTCTTACCCTCTCCTTCATATACACAACTACGCTCTCTCCCATCCCTCCACCACCACCAGACACGGTAACCCCTATACCTCCACTTCCGTAAACTTTTTAACACGGTTCGTTTAAGTCGACGGCGGCGCCACTCAATCAAGACCACTTTTATTCGCGTGCGCTTCGTCGTGGTAACGAGCCCGCTTGTCGAGAGAGATTTCCATTCTCTCTCTCTCTCTCTCTCTCTCTCTCTCTATCCAACTCTTTTCGTCCCAGTCACCAGTTCCGTGTCAATCGGTTTTCGCTTGAACTGACTGCACTATAAATATACACATACATATCTAATATATAATATATATATTATATGCCATATGCTATTCGCAGTGTTTAAAGGTCGTTGACATAGTCGTGCGGCTTGTGTGACGTGTTAAAACGAAAATCGTGTACGCGAGTGTCGGAAAAAATGTGGCATATCCGCATATCCAACGACTACTATCCACCTCCAGAGTATAGCTTGTAGTTTTTCTCAAACTATTGTACACACAGAGTGTCTTACTGTGGCTGTCCAGACAAGAGCGGAGAAATCAAATGATTCTCTTGTTGGAGACGTATTTAGAGGCTTGGGCGAGTTGGTGATTTTTTTGCATCGCCATTTTTAAACACATTATCGCACTTAGTACTTAATCCTGGTTGATCTTTAATATTTTAAACTATCACAACAGCAATGAATGTACTCAATGTTGGGTATTAATTTTAATATACGTTTTTGCAAATAAATAACTGCCAAAAAAGCGTTTAATTGAATGTATTTTAGTGTGTGTTTGTTTAAGTGTGTAATCATGTGTAAAATATAAATGGAAAAATGTATGTTCAAAAAAATAGTATTTAATGGGAGGGAGGTAGGGGCAGGGTGTTAATAACCTGAATGCGTATCTACCTCCCGTGTAGTGCCATAGTCTATCGGGTAAACCTATTTTAATCTAGGAATAGAATTAATTAATTTGTTATGTATACATTTTTAGTTGAATATTATTCTAGTATTATACTGAGTATGCATATGCAGATTCATGTTCAAAAATTGAACTATAATAATATCTATCAATGTTATAAATTATAATAATAATATTACATTAGATTATTTGTAATATTACTTGCACGTCTTATGAGATTTGATCATTCTGGCAGACAGTGGTAGACTCGTTTACAAACCGTCTCGTTTGAAATTCACATTTCCGATTTAATTACGGTGAACCACTCATATATTATGATCCAATTATACACAATACTATACATAATATTATATAACAATAATGTATCATCTGACATTACGTTTGTGTATTATAATATTATTAGATTAATCATAATATAATGTTGACCGGCGTCATGGATAGGCAATCTAGGGGCATCACTGTTGCGGGTAATAATTGTCCCTATCATTTTGAAATACTATTATTTTGAAACGTTATTTTAAATTTTAATGTAATAGTGTAATACTTAACTAATATTAATACCATGGTCACAAGTCGATGATGTATTATATTATATTAATTCCAATGCTTATCTAGGTTAAGCAATATAATTAAAGTCCAGACTTAAAATTTGTTTAGTATTCATTTTTATTGAAAACCATTAATAATATACAATTATTGTACTCATATAGTAAATCATCTGTCACTCAACATATTCGTCACTAAAGATTTATCGACATAAACGATGATGGCGATAATGATGATGATGATCTCAAACACGTGTAAGCGAAACGAATACGGTTTTGAACATCTACAAATAACGTTTCGTTTATACTTTGGACCGTTCAGTGGCCCCACCGCACACCGTCGTGTGTTGAAATGTGGCTTTTGCTTGTAACAAACGAGTCGGCTGCAGTAGTGGCATTTTAATTTCGAAGCAAAAAACGTACCCACACACACACACACACCACCTGTGCGGATGTGATGTTCTTCGCCGTTTAACCTCACAACGATATTTTAAAGTTTCGCATTTGTCTTGGGTGTTGGCTCGACGAAATTGGTTTTTCTCCCGACACCCAATCGCTTGTTTGGCGTTTAGGTGTGTGATGTGTGTGTGTGTGTGTGTGTGTGTGGGTAATGGTTACAAAGAATGAGTATAGTTTCCTCGTCTAAAACGACACCATGCGTGTGGAAATATAAGAACGAAATTCACTTTGGAAATCTCGTTAGAAACGTAACGCAATTTTATGTCTTCAAGTTTCGGATATTAAATAGTTATACGTGGTGACAACAGGTGGACACTGAGATTAATGATTTCGGTGGTATAGTAACGATAATATTATTATATCGTTATAATACCTATCCCAGTAGACCAATTTGCTACTGCGCGTTTCGTGTCGATGACCCAACTGATAAACAATTATACATGATATACCTACCTAATAATAATTTTTAATATTATAATTGTTATTATTATTATTATTTCTATAACAGCATGTGCAATTAGGTACACAGTTAGGTTATTAGGTTGGTTAAGGTTTGGTCAGGTATCATTGTGTACGGGTTTTCCGAATAACTGTCGCATGGATTTTGCAGCGATATTATATATGATGATTTCGATCAGATGTTTCATAACAATAATAATAATTCATTTATTTCGGCCAAGGTAGATTTATAGTTATTTATTAGACTTAAAATAATAATGACAATTCGTCGTTGTTATACCGATGATATTATTATTGCAGTATTCAGTGAACATATTAATTATATTATATTATCAAACAGTGTACCACCCGGCCTCACCACCTCCGACGAAAACAACCTGCATGCGGTGCCGCTGCCGCTACAGGTTGCCACTGAATCAACACGCGAATTCGTCACGTCCGTAAGTCCGTTTGGCGGCGTTGGCGGCAACAGTGGGGGTTCTGGTGGAGGAAGCTGAGGTGTATTCGGCGTCATTCCCTCGTTTGGCTGCTTAATACAATACCCACACAAACACGAAATATATTGCGTATACAGCGTGTCCAAATATTACCGTTCAGAGGTAGTAAGAGAAAACAATCTTAATCTTCGATCGTAAACCGCGTTTTCCTTAAATTGAACATTGTTTTATTTCTGTGACCAAATACATTTGATTAAAAAATCGGACAGTACATTTTCTAAACGGGAACAAATGAGTTAAAATATTGTTATATCGTTATATTAAAAAAAAATAAAGAATGAAAACTTACTTCGTTCTTGGTGTTCGTCTTATGCACAAAGTCAAAGATCTTGGGTTCAACCAAATTATCGGTTTCATATTGAGCACACTTGCTCAGAAGCCTTAAGAAATATTATAAACGAGATGAATATGAACGTTGTCTAAAAACATTATTAGTCACTATTGTCAGGCCAGCACTTGAGTATTGTTCAATTCTATGAAACCCTTTACAAATTATACTTATTAAACCGATCAAGAGTGTTCAGAGACGATTTATAAGCTTTATTGGCTATAATAAAAGACGGCAAAACACCAGCGGCCCTTCCACTTCCTTGATTACACCTCTAAAAAAATTCAGCTTAGTATAAATTTAGAATCGTTTGCTTCTATGCTTAGACCTATAGATATTTATATCACATCCATATTTTAAAATGGAATTATATTCTCTTCCTGAGTTACTGCAAATAATATTTTCATATATCTCAATATCTGTCTTGTTCTTCTCCTACATTCTCAACATCAATCCACCTCATTTTGTAATAACCCCCACAGTTCGTCAACTGCCGATAATGTAATAAATACAAACAACGTTGATCTATTTGATACAAAAGTGATTATGTTTCCATTATTGTATGTCCAACATCTATATTGTACTTATAAATTTTCTTTTGTTCTTAGTTGTAATACAATTTTAAAATTTGTATTTATAATACTATGTACCTACCTCCTAATACATAATCATAAGTATAATATGGACATATTTTACTCATTAGATATTTTTATATATTATTATTATGTACCGTATAACATCAGTCCATATTGGGGTTTTATATTAATAAATAAATAGACGAGTTGTACGAATATTACGTCTAGCATCTCATCAACATTTGAAGAATAACACGTGCCAATATCGTGGAGGTTTTTCGTAATAACACGATAATAATATATTACTATACAATCATACGCAATAATAATAATCGTTTTGGCGTAGCGGAGCCTGTTGTAATAGTCGTTTGTCACGACTGACGGCTCATCGTGATCAGCTATGTACTTTTTCATTTTTAAAGTAAAATACGTAATAAATTGAGAAATATCAGGTAAAATCTCCAAATAAAAAAAAATTCTTTCCAAAATATATATTATTCATACCTATTTAGTGTACGATTAATACGTCATCCAAGGTAAAGCCAGAAAGTTTTCTTCACATCTTTTGACACAGCCATTGTTGCCTATGTACATACTTCAGTATATTATACCTACGAGTATTATATTACACAAGGTAATATTATACAATGTATTATACGCGAATAGGTGGTATAATTATTTTTATGTTATTTGAGCTCTGTAATAATTATTACAACGAGTTCTCATCCCTCCAAATGCACAAGTTAAGATGTCCATGAAACATCCCCCCAACGGTGAACCTGTAGTTGGTGGAAGGAGGGAGTGGACCAGGTCGTGACCATAATACCATAAACGTGCTCTTTTACGTTCCAATTATTAACGTGTACACATTTTAATTTACATATTTGTGTCATAAACGAGTACGAGTATGTATGAAAGTAATTATTTTTATATTTTCATTCGCAGATTACTTGAAGTATTGTTACGAGCTGGAACAAAAACAAAACTTGTTCCGTGAGCGAAGCAAAGAAGAAACAGAAGCAGCTCATGACTTACTCGAACTCTCCAGGTAAGAACCTATTATAATATGATATTGATATATATGTGATTAGTAAATTGAAAAATTAAAAAAAATGTTCATGTAAACTGCAGCATAAAAAGCATAAAAAACTTATGCAAAGTACTTACACAAATAAATGTGATATTGAACATAAATTAATGAGAACAATTGAATTGCGTACTATTACAATATATTTTTTTTTAATTTTATAAAAAAAGTACTTATCAAATAGGTTAGGTACCAACCCTAATCCTATACATTAGTAAATATATAATATATTATATTATAATCATAAATACCTATTGTAAATATAATATTTTAATTGATTTCGTTAGAGTAAGTCAATAACATTACTTTATAACATCTGATATCACTTATAAAATGAAAAATAAAACATTTTATGTTAGAAACTAAATTTTTAATTTACGATTCATCTATATAGTAGCTATAATAATATAATAATCGGGTAGGATTTTTTTTGGACTTTGGAGCTAAAGGTGATCGTTGTGTATAGTGTTACGGGTTTCTGCCACCGCAGTAAATCGTAATAACGATGAAGTACAACAATATTATAATATTATATCTCCTCACAAAACACGCTATCGGTGCTCGTGCATAAAAACGAAATGGTAGATTATTCAGCCAACCTTTTACTGATTTTTTTTTTCCACTGGCCATATCCCTCTGCGAATAGGGTCAGGCAGTAAATATACCTATATAATAGGCGTATAATGAAATTATATGATCGACAGCCGTTCGACCACAATCGTTAGGCGAACCCGAAACTTTGCGACGTTTAATTATAATATATTATTATCATTGCTATCGGGTCTCACTATATTTGCTTGCAATACTCGTTAAAAATTGCCCCGAACAAAAAATACACGTTCGGCACCCCATCATACATTATTCGAACGTTTAAGTTTTATTCCTACTTTTTTAAGCCAAAATACGATTTTTCAACACTAAACAGTGTTTGTCGTTGTAATGATATTATGATATACCCTATGCTTATGTTTGATCGTTGGGTTATAATAACTTTCAAAGAAGTAAAATATAATATGATGTTATAAATAAATTCACAAAAAAAATGCTCATTGAATTTACTCTAGAAAGACTAGTAACTTTGTAAATTAAAACAATCCTTTGAAATTATTATTGTTGTGCTAGCGAGAATATGGCAAGGCGCGACGAGGGGCTTCTTTGAAATCGAAATAACTGAGTTAAAAAGTTTCGTTTCGACACGATTTTCGCCATACCCACAAAAATTTGTGACAATAATACTCTCCACTCCAGTCGGTTTCATATTATTCCGTGCGAAACTTACTCCCATTGTCGTAATTTCTAAACTTTCACAAAGACAGATGTGTTTTTTTTTAATCGTCCCGAAGCGATAATGGAATAAAAACAGTGTGCGTTATTGTTGAATGAAAACAAACACCAAAAGTATTATAATAAAGAAAGAATGCACGTATTAGGTAAAACGCGTACGACTTGGACTTAAGAACGTCTGCGTGGCGCCGGCGCACAAAAATCTCAAAGTTTGTTTTTCTCCTTTAGTCTTTATAAATTAGATTACTCGCCATGGAATATCTAATGTGAAAACTACTATGCACATTGTACGCATAATATATTATTTCAGTGACTTGGTGCAAGAAAGGCCAATGTAACATTTGGACGGATTTGAAATAATTTGACCGATGTTATTGAAATTTGATTATGTCACTTGTTTTAAAACGTTTAGAGTCTCTGATGTAGTTTGACCAAATTAGATTTGACATTAGAGACTTTGACAGTTATTCATAGAAGACTTATATCAGTTAACATATTATAGGACTATGTTGATATTAACCACGACAATGGCCGATTCGAAATAAATAATTAATAAATTGTATCAATAAAATATAAGTTATTAACATTATGATTTCTTGTGTAATTGAATATTATTATTGGGTATTAATAAAAAATTTAAGTTCCTTAATTATTATAAATTGTTTATTTTAAATTTTTGTTTTTAGCCAATGTCAGAGAAAATTAGTTTTTATTTTTTTCTGGGCGGCCAACATCTAAATAAAAACTTCTGAAGTTTTCAAAATGAGAGTCATTCAATGAAATAAAAATAAACTTATCAAAGTAACATAATTTTTAAAGGCCCTACTTTAATTTTAAAATGCTTGTTTGAATTTAAAAAATTGGCCAACTTGTTTTTTTGAATTCCTGAATATTATCAAAATATGACGGTTGCTTTTCTTACACCGAACCACAGATTTTTATAGTATATTACCTGCTGTATATTATAATATATTATATAAGTAACAGAACAATTTGATCATTATAATTAACTATTTCTTATAATTTCTAATCGTATAATATATTTATATAATATCTAATATATTATTATGTTTTAACTACAAATTTGCTTGATAATCAAATTTAAAACAATTAATTACAATATAATATGTATAGTTATAGCATAGGGTAGTAAATTATACAACTGCAGTCACTTATTTCTATTACGCCTTGTACATAGGTACATAATAATAATATGTGAATTTTAATTTTTAACAGTTTATAGTTCACAATTTCATTGCGCACATATAATAACAAACATAAAAACTGAAGTATATTCGACCTGTCAATAATAATATTAAAAAATAATGTTAGTTATTATAATATTAGCATACTCGTTAGTTCTCTATATACATAGTATAATGATAATGTGTAATTGAACGGGCGAGGAAAAATATAAATAAAAGCAGTTGGTATAGGTATTTGCACTATATATACGCACCGACTCGCTTTCATAGTTGTAATGATATATAATTTCTTTTATAAAATATTTTAATAATATAAACGTCGTAATGCTTCATGCGGAAAAGACGTCGATGGCGCTTCTTGGAAAACTGTCGGAGAAATATACCATTATGAAACGGCTGGAATAGAGTTTTGAATAAGCAAAGGGGATTTATTTCAGAAGATATAATGGCATCACGAATACGGTGTTACGAATTTCCATGAACTCGAAAACGACTGAAAAAATATAAATAATTTTTAATGCTTAATCTCGAACATCGGACTCGAAACTAAACGGTACAGTCATAATAATAATATTATTATCGGTCGAGTAATATTCGAATAATCTGGATTTTTCGCGATAGTATTCTTATAAACGGATACGATATCGAGAGGCGGATGAATTTTTTTGCTGAATTTGGCAGGCCACCAAAAAACCTTGCAGCTATTCATTGTTCTTGTTTTGTTTTCTCCGTGATCGATAAAACTCTCAAAACTGAAATTGTTGTATTCTAGGAATATAACTTATAGGAATAAATATAATAACTTTAATGGATTTTATAATAAACAATGAACATTGGTCGTTATTATTACGTTTCTAAAAATAGCAAACGTGTGGAAGTTTTCTCAGTTTTTATTTACTTGTCTCGGACAAGAGGTCAACACGTGGTTCTAATAGTGACACTGATAAGTTAAAATCGACTTTATCAGTTATCACTTCGTTTTGATTCCACCGCACCGTTACGACTGTTAGACATCTTCAGTATATATTGCCACACGAGTTATGCAGCTACAGTGAGTTTGGCAAGAATTCGAATACAATATTGTTATCATTCATGTGCTGGTGGATCGTGATGGTGTGATCGTTCATATTGAAGGGCACATGGGCATATTTTTGTGTAAGAATATTTTAGACCTTCACCCACCCTGAAATTCGATTTAATCTCCGATTATGGGTGAGGGGGACTCGAAACATTTGTGAGAATATCTCTAGCTGTAACATGACGTGCTATATTCGTTTTTATAATATCTCTTGTAAATTACAAATGTATTAATATTTAAAATCATTTTATATTTGTGGAACCTGTTGATTCGGTGGAGTGTGGGTAACTCATCTGTAAGAAACAAAAAATGTGTCCGTCTCCTTAATCAATCATCACTATCGATACGTTTGTTTTTACTACAATATATATCGTAAACATCATATTACAAAGATATTATTCCAAGTTGTGTTTTCGTAGGAGTAGAAGTAATCCAATGATATTATTAAATTCGAATATACATACTACTAATACTGTTATTAAGTGTGTACTTATTTACATCCTTCGATATTCCACTCATAAATTTAAACATTTAGAATTAAAAATGTTTAATAAAAGAGTAAAGTCACTCGCATAATATACTCTCGAACGTGCAAAGCTCCAAATGTCTCGGGTAATTGGTTTTAAAAACCCTTTTAACCAGCTTTATTACACAGCAGAACTCATTACGACTATAGCCACGAGTTGTATATTATTAGAACTTGCACGACTACACAGACTGCATCGTACAGAATAAATTCTAAGACAATTATATTCATGTGATCCCTTCAATCGGATTACGACAGTAATATTTGTTGTACAATATAATTTGAAACTATTCTCTCATCATGCGTCGTTTTTCTACTATATTAATATAACTACCATTCTGAAATCTCATCTACATAACTGTTGAGTAGTATATTTTACAACACCCTGTAACCACTGAGCTCGCTCAAAGTGTTAATCCTCGATTGACTATGTGTTTAAAAAAATGCAATGTTTAACGTTTTTGAGAAACATCTCAGTACCCCACACCATGGTGAAATATCATATTATACAATATATTATGTAATATTTCACTTACGTTTCCCCAACATCACCCGTGGATTTTTGTGATTAAGAGTATACTGAAAATGCAAATTCATACTAATTGCGTGCTAATTATTGATGAAATAAAAATTTAAAAATTTTTAATGGGCGGTGCTGGTGCACGTAAGTTAATATTTCACATGACTTATATCAGTCTCCAATCACTATAATATAGCTGTTTGACTTTTCACGCAGATCGTTGCCGCCACTGCCACCACCGAGCACGGTGACCGTCGCAGCGCCCACCCCTCCAGAGACACCCCTTAGCTCGGGGGTGGGTGATGGGTGCCCAGCTTCACCACAGTTCGTCTACGTGTCCACCGCGGTATCCGCCGCACCGCTTACACCACCCGCTTCAGAGTACTCGTCGGATGCGGAGAATACGCCAGCGGAAGCGGGTGGAGGTTCCGCCAACGCACAGGCCGTCGTGGTGGCGACGGCCACAGCCACCACCACCGTCTACAGTCTAATCGATTACGTCATCGAGAGGGGTGACAGTGGCACGTTCGACCCGTTGCTGACCAGAGACTTGAACGTGAAGGCCGGCAGGACGACAACGACGACCGCGGAACACCGCCGGTCGACTTCCACTACCACCACCACCACAACCACCCAGGTCGTGGTCGGATGCAGTTCCGGGAACAAAGGTCAGTATATTATGATAATATTGTTGAAATTTAAGCTCGAGTGGATTCAGTGTAATAATAATATAGATAAATCACACGACTTTATGCAGGGACGTTTGCAACTGAATTAACCCGAACCCGTGTTATTACCTTTAAAATTGCATAAAAAATCAAACATCAGAATTAACCGGAACTCAAATAGTTTTTAATTAAAAAAATGTCAATAATAAATATTAGTAGCAATAATTTTTATTCAATAGATATTAATTAGGTACTATTAATTATGAAATAATAATTATAATAGTTATAATAATATGATACACGAAAATATGCTCAACATTTAGAGGGACTTAGGTTATTTTCATGATATATTTCTTGTGATTTAGCTATATATTTTATGACACGATGTATCTGCTGACTTTTTAATTTTTTTTATGTTTTAAGTGATTTAACCTATAACTACTATGAACACCTTGTATATTCACTTATATTAACCATTAAATGGTTTAAATTTTAAATTTTGTTTAAACTTTATATTCCGGTGGAACATCCGAATTCATCCAGCACCCAAAACTTGAAAAAATGAACTAGGTGCAAAGCCCTGACTTTGTGATTATGTAAATACTATAATAGGACTATAATATAAATGTAACATACAACTTAACTACATGGGGGGGGGGGCTGAATACACAGCGTACTATGACGTTTTCTGAGCGAGTGACTTTGATGTACATAGGATAAGCCCCTTTTTATGTCCCACTATTGACGTAATAATATTATACTCATACCTATGTCTATATAACAATTGAAAGTTATGTCCAAATATGAAATATGTAATATTATTTTAGTATAACGTGGAACATTAATATTGAAATATAATATCGATACGTCTTGTACTCACGATGAGCTCACAATGCTAGGATACTAAATATATTTATTGTAATTTAGTTTGTAGCTAAAGGTTGAACTACTGAAATCTTAACAATAAAATGTAAAAGTTTCGGATTGACTTTGTCCTAATTCAGCGCACGCGACTGGTAAAGATTAAAAATGGTAACAATAACCAAATCGCACCCAAGATTTTTTCGAGATTTTTAACTATAATAATTATTATTAACATTTCGAGACTATTACTTTATTTACTTTAACACTTTATATTATTATATTTTAAAATAAATTAATAAAAATATGATAAACGCTCAAAGTCGGGACGCGCATGAGGTCTGCTGCATTAAAATAACGTTGCTAGTTAGGTTTTTTCCCCCATCTTACTAAAAATAGCGTCCTTGTCCTGGTTGTAATCATAACAATACTATAAAATAATATGTAATAATGTACATATTATCTCTCGCGCAGTCGTAACGATTAATTGATATCCGAGTGGGTCGTGACGTTACAATATAATTTTGTACAATACTTGTTGAATTTCTCCCCAAGTCGAATTTGTATTAGCTGATATTATTACCGTGCACGTATTATGTATAATATTATAACAGTCGTGGCGTAGGCACCGTATATGTGCTCTGTTGCAGTTATTTCATTATTAATCAAAACATTCGAAATTCGTCGGCATGAATAATTCGCGTTCTTCGCCTGCAGCACCCGAGTGCGTTATTATATTGCACGAATATATAATATACATATTATATCATACACATCGTAATATACGATAGCTCGTGTTATGTGCTCGCGATATAATTAATTGAACCGCCCGTCGTCGCCACCACCGCTCGAGTTTCATGTATATTAAATTGACCTGTCTCGGCAAAATTTCAATAATTCAGCGCACCGGTGCGAGCCGGCGGCCCCCTCGTGCCACTGTCGCCTGTGGAGTCGTACTCTTATTATAACAATATTATGACGTATAGCGTCGACAAAATAATATAATAATATATTTTGATAAATTACGAAAGAAAAAAAATCGTACGTCGGCCCCTCTTCGGTGAGGCTCGAGTACAAGTGGATTATGGTGTACCCACCGTAAAGATAATATTATAATATAATATTTGAAACGTAATTCAAATGCGATATTGTTTTATTTATATTACAGAAGGACCTCGATCGTCTGAACTAATTGGGACCACACTAGGTGCGGAAACGCGAAAGTTTTGACACTGAGGTTTTTTATACTATATTATATAGATATAATATATTATTTAGTAATTTCATGTATTTACATTTTCAACCTACACATAATATCATTATCTACTTTGACCTAGCAAATAAAACCAGCATATTTACCAGCAAATAAAACAAATCATTATTAATATATTATTATATTATTATACTTGAAATGTTCATAAATAATATCACGAACATACATATAAAATTATTTTATTTTTTTGCTAAATAAAGCCTCGGCGACAATGGGCATTGGCTAAATTGAAACAACATATTATTGTGTTTACACTTTAATTTAAATACATCGAGAATATGGTACACAAATTACAAAACAATTAATTAAATTGGATTTAAAAATACATTTTATATCACGCATTTTAAGTTGTCTGGATGGAGAGCCTCTAACGGAATGTTGGATATCTCAGCTTCTCGTCTCTCCGATTCGAATGTAAAGACCTTCAGCTACGATTTGTTTGATAGCGAGGGGAACGCTACAACTGGCGTATATAGGTGGGGGAGGGGTCATCCATCTTCATCAGATACTGGTGTGTTATTGATGTGTGTCCGATTCGCATTCTACTAATGGAAGTTTCTATTTTTATTGTGATGTCCAGTGGTGAGCACCATAAGTGGATGGTGTTTTTAATTTTGTCTAATTTAGTTTATACTTGATTTCACGACCTTAGCCATAAGTTGTTCGAAATGGTTTTAATTATAGCTTTAGCATCGTCTTGGAAGGCAAAATAATTACATATAAAAGGGTATGTGGAAGTTATTCCTTGGCGTGCTTTTTCATCAGCTCTCATTCACTTCCCGAGATCTGATTGTGGCTTAGAGTCCATATTATCCATATTATTTTCCTAGACATACCTACATAATATTATATGATAATGAATCGATATTTGTAATTCATTATTATTAATATTAAATTATTATAATATACATTTATTTATTAGCTATACATAAATTATACATGTCTACACGATTACTTGAAGTACAAACGTTACATCTATGGTTGGTGTTTGGATAACAGAGCGAGTAGTATATTATATTAGTATGTTCTGAGAACCTCCTTTACAGGGAGATTTATCCAGTTTAAGCGGCCATTTATACATGATTCACCGTATAACACATAATCTCAAAAAGTGTGTTGATATAATTTCTCCATTCATTTATTGCATAATATTATTATACAATGGTTAAACAAATTTAAATGCTGCAAAAAAGTACTGTGAATATGCATTACACTTTTTAAGATTATGTGTTACATGTTGAAGCATATGTATAAATGACCGCTTAAACTGGAGAAATCTCCCTATAAAAAAGGTACTCAGAACATACTAATATAATATACTAATAGTGAGTTTGGATACGTTAATTTCAGGTTTATGCCCAGTTCGCCGACACCCGGTTTTTTGATCAAAAAACCAGTTTTTAATGGTTTTTAAAAAAAGCCCAATTCGCCGACAAATGATATTGACGACATGCTTTGTTGCATTGCAATAAAACTATAATAGCTACTATCATAATCTGTAAATTTGATGAGTACGATGAGTAGGTATAAGAACAGGTACCTATCGGCTATGATATCGGCAAAGTTATGATATCTGTAAACATATTTAATGATGAGTATAAAATATAGTATTATAGGTACTTATCACATGATAATTTATTGACATCCATTTATATAACCTATTGTAAGTCCACTGGGGTTTTCAAATATTGAACATGATTTTAGTTAGTAGTTTTATTTCACTGCATGAGGTAGGTACTGCAATTTACTACACAATTCATATTACTAGTTATTAAATTTTTTTCCCCCCATTATGGAATGGTTTAAATTTAAGTTCGAAAAAAAATCAAAACTTACTTGTAGTGGACAAATATTTACATAGAATAGACCGGATACGTGGAGACAACGAATATTATAAATGTATAGATAATTGCGGCGGCCGTGCAATATTAAGACAATCAACAGTCATAGTTATGTCTAAGTCACATAATCACGGACCACATGGTCTTGAATTGGCAAAATGAGGTTTCCGAAATAAATTAAAGGTAAATAATTGTATTAAATATTATCATATAAAGCTTATTCATATTTTTATGAGCAATTACCTCATGGAGTAAATAGATTTTCATAGCTCATACCTACTTCAATTTATTTTTATTTTTTAAATGATTTTAACGATTTTTATCGAGACTTAAGAATTAATTAATTAATTATTACATAGGTATTAAAAAATTAAATATTATTAATTTAATATTATATTATTATTAAATATTATATATTATTAATTATTATATATTTTTATAACTGAACTGTACTTTTTCAAATTGGGTGTTGTCAAATTGAGTGTCGGCGAACTGGGTTTCGGCGAACTGGGTGTCGGCGAACTGGATGTCGGCGAATTGGGTGTCGGCGAACTGGGAATACACCTTAATTTCATTTTATATTTGTCCAGATTATAGAGGGTTTTTAAACCGGAGGTTGGGATAATCGAGATTCTCCTGTATTATAAAAAACGTACGACGACCGCGACGTGGCGGCGGACGGCGTTAAACGTCGGAATGCCGCGACGAGTTATTTTTTATCATTAATTCAGCGGAACGAAGACGCAAAAATTCCATTTGGTTTTCGATAAAATTGCATAAATTATAATCGAAGGGACTAGTGAAATCGACTTTTTTTTAATAAAAAACAAAAAGACTTCTCTACTGTATTATAATAATATAATAGGAGATCGGTTCAACGTGTGTGGTCTACCTGCATAGATGAACCTTGTATTTTTATTTTAAAAAAGGTTTCGCATATTGTGATTTATGATTTGTAATTTATTTGACCAGATTTTATCTAACCTAAACTAACCAAGACCTCATATAAAATGATACTCGTCGAA